TTCTTTAATAATGTCACAATTTATGGCTGACTTTTCTTGATTTTCGCCGCGGCAGCCCTGTCATACGCACCCTCTGCTGTAATGCCTCGGTCGAGTCAGCAGGCAAAGACCTTGCCAGCTGCTGTACCACGCAACCGACTTAGGCAACAACAAATTTTGTGTTAATGAGAAAGTTATTTCAGTCCATCGCAGTGTATGCAGAAACGAGTGTAAGGTCACCACTATTCGTATTCGGCCTGACCGCAACTATTCCGCCGAATACCGAATAGTTTTTTGGTCCACTATTCGGCACCGAAGCGAATACGAGGCGAATATTCGGTACAGCCCTAGTAATGACCCTGCCTACCCCCAGCATTTATTCAGTCAACTGGTACTGCTGGATAGCTGTCGGCGTACATAAAGCTGATCGCCCAGAAAACTACTAAGTGTAAAATTTCTTTAGAAAAACCACAACAACCAAAAAAAAAAAAAAACAAATATGGGGTTGGTTCAGCAACGACCTGGACAGGAAAGTAAGTAAGTAAATTTACTTCACCGGGACATCACATAGAGCGATAAACACCCGGTGACACATAGTACCACCATACGGATAAAGATCACCTGTGGGGATGTCCCAAAAACCCCTTTCAGCCGTTGGGCCATATATACAGGCCTCCCGGCAAAAGCCTGGATGGGACTTCGAATAATGAAAGATTGCATCCTACAAGGGGACGATTTATAGTCAACGTCCTATAAATGAAAGGTAACTAAATGTGTAGGTAATGGGGGCAATATCATGCTGGTCATCTTGACTTCACACTGCATCTCCTGGTACTTATAGATAGACCTGCAAGCCATTGTCAGTTCTTTAAAAAAGTCTACCTCCGCGAGAATTCAAACCGAAGACTTTTCAAACCGGCAGGCTAATGTCTAACCATTGCGACATCTGTTCTTCTTCTTCTTCTTCTTCTTCTTCTTCTTCTTCTTCTTCTTCTTCTTCTTCTTCTTCTTCTTCTTCTTCTTCTTCTTCTTCTTCTTCTTCTTCGCGTTCACCAGCAGTAAACTTTGGCGAAAAGTTCTGGTTGTTCATGCACTTCTGGACTGCAATCCAGTTCCAGAACCTGATTGTTTGCTTGTTCATCCGTTTTACACATATGACATTTGTAGGCTGACTGCTGGTTCCTTGCCTCTCATGCAGATGCACTCCGGCTTTGAAGGAAGCTCCCAGTTGGTCGACTCTTACGACATGCTTTGGGTAGGTAATGTGTCTATTCTTGTTTTCTCTATAACAGGGCCTCGGAACTCACACGGGGAACTTCTATTTTTACCTAATGAAATAAATAGTTATTACAAGAGAGACAATCGTTACAAATTCTTCTATTCAACATTGACCAATCTGATTATCTCCCTTTTAAGAATAGCAATGGGGATTATGGTTTCTATTTTTATTTTATTTTTATTCCGAGTTTTAACTTATGACAATGAAAGCTGCAGACAAATACAAACGTGGAACGAAAGTTAAATGCATTTGATAACAAATGCCTGAGGAAAATTTTGACGATAAAGTGACATGAATTTTTGAGAAGTGCAGAAGAATTAGATTTGTTTTCGCAACCACCGGCAAAGGTCCTGCTAGATGATGATGATGATGATTGTTCGACGGTCAGTGCATTATCAAATTCAACGCCAAAAGATGGTAAATGGGGGAAAAAAAACTTTGTGAACAACGGATTATTTCAATTCTCAGGCCATACAGAATCTCTTTTTCGCGGTCAAGGATAGACTGCTGCTTTACAATCCTAAAACAGTAATAGATTTGTTGACTCTCTCTCCCTCCCTCCCTCCCTCCCTCCCTCACTGTCTTCCTTTCTCTCTTCCTCTTTCTCCCCCTCTCTGTCCTCCTCTCTCCTCATGTCTCTCTCTCTCTCTCTCTTTCTTTCTCTCTCCTTCTGTCTCTCTCTTTCTCTCTTCTTCTCTCTTTTCCTCTCTGAAATTAATCTCTCTCTCTCTCTCTCTCTCTCTCTCTCTCTCTCTCTCTCTCTCTCTCTCTCTCTCTCTCTCTCTGACACATATGTGCAAAATGTATCACACAATTATATCCACGGAAACCAGTTCTTCAGTTTGATTTTTAATTTATTTAATAATTCACATTAACAGTGTGAAGCAACAAAACAGATGTCATTAAATGCACTGGACATAGGTGATCAGTTGACAACAACCACGCCCACATACAATCATAATTGTGGCTTCGTAAAGAAAACAACATCACTGCTGAAATTACTGTTATTTAATCCCCCTCCCCCCAACCCGAAGGTTCGGAAACGCAACTCAGAACCTAAACCACACTTGATCAGATCCAATAGATCATATTATATAAATAGAGTAGTGGGAGGGGAGTGGGCCATCAGATAAAAACTTTCATTTGCAATAACCATACCGTTGTCTTGTAAACCCGTCAATGTTGTTGTTAAGGATGTTCAAAATTGTTAAGCAGGTGAACACGGTGACGTCATAATGACACTTTAAAAGATGGCCGCCCTACTTTTAACATGCACCAAAGAGGAGAAGTATTCGGTTATCTTGTTTTTTTTTTTTATTTTTTATCAGAGAAAGGGTAAAACCCATATCAATTCATCACGAAAGATGCCTGGTTATTGTAAATTCTGTAACACCCTAAAGGTTTTTATTTGAACTCCCCTTTTATATGATGTTTCAGAATATGTTAAATAAACATATAATTCAAATGAAATCATTGATGATGTCTGAGGTTATGTTAAAATATAATACATGTTTAAAAAATTGTGCAGATAAATCGGAATGTGTTAAATTAACGTATGAGTTTGATGAAACAAAGCATGATGAGTCTAGATATGTTAAACTGATGTAAAAGTTGAAGTTGTTAATTTTAACGTGTGGGTTCTGGGGTCCTATGGTGGCTGGGGTTGGGGTGTGGAGAAGTACCCCAGTGCTCCCTAAGAAGCATGTCGAGGAAGGCGACAAATTATTGGTCTTTCCTAAATCTAATGTGTTGTTCAAAAGCTCCGATTTATTTTGATGTCAAATGTCCATCGTCCGTTCGCTCGGTCTCCCTCTGCCTCTCCTCCCCTCCAGCTTTCCTACCGTCGCGATGTGCTTCGGTTTTCTACTTCTCATCACATCATCAAAGAATGTAGAGTGCCTCTTTTTTTTGGTGATATTCTCTTGATAATTTTTATATATAAACATAAAATATACCACATAAAATATAATTGCCTTGTGAAAGACGAGTATTTGACAGGGCCAAACATAAGACAGGCCTGCAGGACCAATTTGTGACCCTTTGGTAATTAAGCTCGTTTGTTGGGTGGTTCATGCTGTGTTATGGTAGTTAATTCTAGTTTCTGCAGTTAACAGCACACAGATCCATACATTCTTGTTTCTTACAGAACGAAACAAAACAATTATACATCAGATATGTGTCATAACCTCAGTTTATTTACATATTAGTAAAACCTAGCTCAGTGGCCAGCTAACCTATTCAGATGGCCCTCTCCTTGAGTATATGTCAAGAATCCCTTTTCCCAACATAACAATATGTGATTAAAAAGAAAATGACCAACCCCAAAAAAATAAAATAAATCACTCCAAAGTACTTTTAACAACAACAAAAAACACACACACAAATCTACATAAATCAAAGGAAACAGTCACCAACAGCTAGTCATTGTGTGTCCTAATATAACATCAATATGATGGCTGACACTATTCTGTCTTGATGATATCGGCTATTTCTGGTCTGGTGTAGGATAAGGCTCAAAGTGGATCACTCTCCATTTAAAGGGCTGTTTTATTTTCATGACTGTTGAAGCGGAATAATACAAGTACAGACGCATTCAATTTCAAAATTGCTTGACACCCCCCCCCCCCCTTTCCCCCCGAGACTTCGCCAACACCCTCCCTCTCTCCCTGTCCTACCCCCAGAATGATCGAGAGTACTAGAGAGTACTAGTCTAGAGAGACCAAGATAAAGACAGCGGTACAAGCGGTAGACGATCAGCAGTCTAAGAGAGCATGTACATCCGAGGGGAAGATAGAGGGAGTTTGAGATCTATGGCAACCAACCCTCATTGTGGAGAGGGCACATGTTTGACTGACTGACGGATTGACTGACTGACTGACTGAACGTCTAGAGTAGATTTTCAAAATTTGTGTTTTCAGGTGGCGCCCCTTTGAATATATAGCAAGACATCTCTCAAATGTCTTCCCCCCCCCCCCTTTTTTTTCCCTCCCTAAATCATCACCCTACCTCCGCTGCTTAAAAAAAAAAAAAAAATATGATTAAAAAGTCCAAAAAAGAACAATCCAAGCAATATTAACAAACATTTTAGAGAAACTCCACATAAATGAAAGCGTCAATTACCATCACAAGTACAAATGCATACGATTTCAAAATTGCAGGTGGCCCTTGTTAAATTTTCCTTGCGGCATCTCCTCTCCTCTCCCCTCACCAACCCCTTCAGTTTTTCTATCACGTTTAAAACCATTGGTCTACAGGGACGACACAAAAATATGGGAACTGAGAATTTTCGCATATATTTGTATGTACAATCCAGCTATACAGTACTGATAACGAACAGTGGAAAACAGTTACAATGCACAACTGAGGCTCTGAAAATGTGGAAATACAGAAGAAAAGGTCATATTTCATGGAAACAAAAAGCAATTAAATACAGGGTGTTGGAAAGACGGAATGAAAATGACCTGGGTGAGGGAGAAAGAGGAGAAAAATGTATGGACATAAAATTGTAATGCAAATCGAAATAGAGGAAAAAAAAGTTGAAGGCAAAAACATTGATACAAATGAAAGGATAAGATAGTCATAGGCGAACAGCAGTCTGAAAGAGTGTACAAACAAGGTGAGAAACAAAAACGTGTTGAAGATCCAATGCACCTAACGGTCGTTGTGGAGACGGCAAGTGGTTAGTTGATTTCCAGATGATTAGCTTCATGACGATAAGCTACCATCAAGACATGTGTGAAGTTTACTGTGGGGCTGCTCTGGTGCCACAGGGTTGCTCAACGTTGTATGGGAAGTCGCAGTTTTGTATCTCCTCGTTGAAGACAAGAGCTGCAGAGAGACACACCACACATTCACACAAAACATTTAGTTTCCATTTAACACTTTAACTGATTGTGTGCAGACACGTAAGCACTTAGCATCTTCACTTCTGTCGTCATCGTTATTATCATTGTCGTCCTCGTTGTCTTTAGTATCATAAGAACCATCCCTTCAATATCAGTATCAAAATCAGTATCATCATTGTTGTCGTCATCATTACCATCATCATCAGTATCATTAACGTCATTATCATCTTCACCATCATCACCGTATCATCACTAACATTATGATTAACGTCATTATCATCATCACCATCATCATCAGTATCATCATCATCATTAACATCATTATCATCATCACTATCATCATCATTAACATCATCACTATCATCATCAAAATCATCATCATTAACATCATCACCATCATCATCCGTATCATCACTAACATCATCTTTAACGTCATTATCGTCATTACCATCATCATCTGTATAATCATCATATTCACTAACATTATCATCATCATTAACATCATCAAAATTATCATCCAGGCTTTTTTTTTATGAGGGCACGCTGTCAGAATTTTGTGTGTGTATGTATATGTGGGTGGGTGGGTGGGTGTGGGTTTGTGTGTGTTTTTTTCTCTTTATTGTTTTGCTTTTAACGATACTATAATAGACACTTTGTGACGAATTCCGTTACTTTTGTTTTAGACACTGGTAAAACAAGCACTTTTTTTTTTTATTTCTTAAAAATGCCATGATCATGAACATCGTCATTGTCGTCGTTATCGTCGTCGTCATCGTCGTCGTCATCGTCGTCATCATCATCATCATCGTCACAGGATTTGCTGTCTGGTGGTAGACACATGTCTCAACATAGAACTCGGTTTTTGTTGTTGTTGTTATGTATGTGTTTTGGGTCTGTTATATTTGATATACTTCTTACTTTATGCCAGCATTATCATCATCACTATTTATGTCAGTATCGTCAACGTCATAAAACTGTCATAGCTTACCATGGTAAACCCCGGCGAACTTTCATTCATCTATATAAATTTCAAGAGCTGGCACATAAAATTTTCGAACTGTGTATGTCAAAACGATGAGGACACGACGACTAGGCGCGAGCTGCTATACTTAAGTATAAAGAAGAAGAAGAAGAAGAAGAAGAAGAAGAAGAAGAAGAAGAAGAAGAAGAAGAAGAAGAAGAAGAAGAAGAAGAAGAAGAAGAAGAGGAAGAAGAAGAAGCAGAAGAAGAAGAAGAAGCGAAGAAGAAGCAGAAGAAGAAGAAGAAGCGAAGAAGAAATAGAAGAAGAAGAAGAAATAGAAGAAGAAGAAGAAGAAGAAGAAGAAGAAGAAGAAGAAGAAGAAGAAGAAGAAGAAGAAGAAGAAGAAGAAGAAGAAGAAGAAGAAGAAGAAGAAGAAGAAGAAGAAGAAGAAGAAGAAGAAGAAGAAGAAGAAGAAGAAGAAGGAGGAGGAGGAGGAGGAGGAGGAGGAGGGGACAAGGAGGTGCAAAGGAGGAGAAGGAGGATTTCAAGCAGACGATGACACTTTTTGGTCACACACAAAATACTTACTTGCTGGACAGTAAATGTGTGGGTAGGGCTGGCCGTTCACACACTGATAGAAAGACTGACATCCAGTTTCCTGCAAAGATTAAACTACGTTAATTAAACTGCACAGAAATGCCAATATGTAGTAGCTTCAATGTTTGGCGTTACAGTCATTAATTGTTTTATGAAGTATAGGCAAAAGTCGCATCTTTTTTTAATGCTCCACTCTTTCGGCTCACCTCGAAAGTATACCAAACTTAAACTATGCCAAATAATGTTTATATAGTAATTCCTCAATTTGTGTAGCTTCCAAGTTTTACATTTTGGGTCTTTCACTCCTTCATTTCAACCAGTAACCGCCATCCGTTCAAAGCAACCTCACTCTTTCGACTCGACTCCAAAAGTACGCCATTTGTTTTTAAAAACACGGAAGTGACTGCAATAGATTGGGTCTTTGTTTTTCATGTGCCTTTCCCTCTCTGAATTCTTTAGCCGTTTTGTGTGTTCATTTATGAATTAACATTGTATTGTTTTTACTTTTCTCTGCAAGAAGGGCTGCTCATGATAAAATAACTGAGTACTTTGATTTTTGTACGCCTATTGATTTCGTGTGTGTGTGTGTGTGTGTGTGTGTGTGTGCCTGCAGCGTGTTGTCGACTACATTAAAATGTCAGGTGGCCCATTGCGTTCAAAATGGTGCGGGTGCTATGTCGGTTTCCGTTACTGATCGTTTACAACTCGTATCAGTCAGCTGCATTTCTGATGTGGAACCTCTGTGTCGGCACATCCGACAGCTCCCTAATGCATTTTCACCTTGCGTGTGCAAGCTTTAAGATGTTGCGATCACTGACAAGTTTGTCACTAGTCTTTAAATGGGACAGTAAAGGACAATTTGGCAAAGACAGCGCAGTTATGGGACTACTTGTCTGCGGTGATATTTGATTGATGACTAGCAAGCCAATCCCAGTCTGCGCTCAAAGGGCGACCTATTCGGTACCACACTGACCGCTTTTATTTCCTTCGACATTTCCTGTTACTTTATATAAATGGAATCGACCTGGAACCCTAGATCAGTTTTAAAACTTATGTCTCGATGGGATTTGAACCTAGGACCTTTGAACCAGCAGACAGGAGTCTAACCACTGAGCTGTCACGGTTTTCAGAGCCGCTTTCAAGCATTATACACATGCCTATTATGCATAACTAAACAGAAGGGGGGGGGGGGGCCTTGAAAATGTAGAAACATATATATATATATATATATATATATATATATATATATATATATATATATATATATTTATATAGATACTCACACATACACAGACAGACAGTGTTTTGATCGGCACTCATAGAAAGAAGTGAAAAGATAGAAGGAATTATTATACAACATAAATATCGAAAGCTACAGTTACATGTTCTGAGAATCAAACTTGTCACCTCCGAATGACGATTTGTTGTGTCGGCACTCACAGAACGATTTATAAAGAGTTTGAGACTAATTCAAATACGACCCCAGAGGTCGACCCACAGACACATGGACCGCAGAAACATCAGAGACAGTGAGAAGTAAATATAAGAAGTGAACAGAAGGGCCCGTTCTAGAGATCCCTTCCTGCCCTAACACCGCTAAGCATTCCAGGAGTAGAGAAAATAAGAAGAAAAGAAGAAACAAATTCTGTCTGTATTCCATAGTTATGGATTTAAAACTGTGTGATACACATGGCTCATGAAGACACCTTTTTATGGGTGCTTAGCTAGTCATGTATCTTAGTACATTCGTTTCCCTAGCGAGGTGCATTCGTTTTTTAAAGTTAACAGTTCGATTGCCGGAGCGGTAACTATAACTTTTGTTGTCTAGTGTATCCCTCTGTTAAATGGCCACATAATGAAAAGAGAGACATAGGAGAAAGTGGAAAGATCAGTGGAAAAAGGGGTAGAGGCAGACCAAGAGAGAAGATGCTGGGTGGGCTGAAACGATGGCATGGAGGGATATCAAGAGAGCTGTTCTAGGCAACCAAGGATCGTGATCTGTGGAGACGCATGAGCGCCTACCCCAGTTGGCAGGGTTCATGTTGATGATGATGTATGCGTCTATCTTTCTACTTCTTTCAGTGAGTGCTGAACAATACATTGCCTGCTCGTGTATTATATGTATAAAATATCTAAATTACACTGAGGTTACCTTGTCTGCGTATCGGCCATCTTCCACGCCCACGCATGAAATCTCTTTCTTGCATGCTGTGTTGCCTTCTCCTGGCCTAAAAAAAAAAACATAATAATAATTTACGGAAAAAACTGTTAACATGAACGCAATCGCTAACGCGTCCAGTACTTTGCCATTGCTTCTGGACGGTCGGCTTCTCGATACCACTGTCGAAACCAACGCAAGGTGCAAGGCCCGCAGCTGGGATCGAACCCGGCACCTCGACATTACGATTTGCGAACACAACGCCTAGGCCACAGTCGCCGATGGCGAAAGGGTGGAAGCTTAAAAAAGTTTACTACGACTATAAAAACTGAAATTGTTTTCTTCAGGAACTTCTTTCACAATGTAGGCAGAAGAGTCTTAAACCCTAAGGATTTAAGCCCGCGTGGCTAGAGCTGCCGCCCTTAACTGTGCAGGTATGGATTGTGTTTGTTGCCCATGATAGAAAAAAATATACCCAACCTTACCCAGAATTCGAACCTGGTCTTTCGCATGACAGACCTGCGTTCTTATCAGTTCGGCCAGCCGCTCATTAGAACGATCAGCAAACTGCTAAAAAAAATTTTTCAAGCTAAACATAAGAGAGATATGGTTTCTGAGACGAATCTTACGAGTGACTTGAACGGCCCGAGTAACTAACAACGATTGCTTGAAAGAAGCTAATGAAAGTAGATCTCTATATACAACAATAAGAAAGAGACAAACACTGTTTTTTTATAAGAGAAACATTGGAGAATATCGTGACAACTGGAAAGATCAGAGGAAAAAAAGGTATTGACAGGCTAAGAGAGATAATACTGGATGGGCTGAAACGATGGCATGGAGGGATATCATCAAGAGAGCTGTTCCAAGCAACAAGGGATCGTGATCTGTGGAGACGCATGAGCGCCTATGGCAGTTGGCAGGGCAAATGATGATGATGATAAGATAGAGAGCCGCTGTGGTGTATCAGTTAAACGCTCGTCTGTGGATCTGAGGGTCCTTTGTTCGGGTCCTCACGGAACCGGACATTTTGTCAAAACATGACCTTGGCTCTCAGGTCGACCCAGCCTTGTGTGGGTACCAGGTAAAGTCCTTGGAAGTAAAAGCCGCCGGCGAGATGCTGACCCCATGATCCACTCTGTGTTGATTCTTTGATATATATATATATATATATATATATATATATATATATATATATATATAAGTCTAACCCTATTGACCCACTTCTCCTGAAAGGGGGGGGGGGGGAAATGTTCCTTCCAAGGATAAGAAAAGATCTCTGAAACACTTACCTGACACAGACTAATGAATCTCGCTCAAGGACAGTGTTGTCGGTGCACAAGTACGTCACAAGGGTTCCATCGACGCATCTTCTATATCCCGAGCAACCAATCTCCAACACATCAGTGGTCATACCTTCCCTGGAACACCTGCGGTTGGATTCCTCGATGATTACATTTGGTGGATCTGTTGCCTCTCTCGTTTCTGGGACTGGTGTTTTGGTTGGGACTGGTGTTGTGGTTGTGTTTGTGACTGGTGTTGTGGTTGGGACTGGTGTTGTGGTTGTGTTTGTGACTGGTGTTGTGGTTGGGACTGGTGTTGTGGTTGTGTTTGTGACTGGTGTTGTGGTTGGGACTGGTGTTGTAGTTGTGTTTGTGACTGGTGTTGTGGTTGGGACTGGTGTTGTGGTTGTGTTTGTGACTGGTGTTGTGGTTGGGACTGGTGTTGTGGTTGTAGTTGACGTCGTGGTAGTCGTTGTGCTTGTAGATGAGGTTGGGATTTCGGTTGAAATGTTGAATGGAATAGTCAATCCGCTAGCTGTAAAATTAAAAAGAGAAAACGTTTGCTACCTTGTAATGGTGCCACTTCAAACACACACACACAAATCATTAGGCGGGGGAGGGGGTGGGAGGGCCTTATCCTCCCCACCCTTGGTAATCTTCTGTGGACATGGTGCGCTTAAGAAACCTATGCCTTGTTTAAGTTCACGATTGTAATTCGAATTCTTAAAAAATCGCAATTCACATACTCATCATACAGCTATTCCAGGCAATAGCCGGGTACAAACCAACAGCCTTTGATCCAAGCTCTTTCCTGCGTCTCTCCACGCTACACCACGACCGGTGGGCGACTACACGGCTTTAGTGGGTGTGACTGGACCCACTAATTTCTTTCCTCCTGCTACCAGTCATAGTCTTAATCGAGATTTCAACATCATCGCAATCGAACTTTTAAATCATAAAAACAATGTTATATTAATTATAAAATAGCAAGTGGTCCGTGCTTAGAGCTACAGTTAAGAATCAAATAACTGACCGGGAAAACACAATGGATCGTAAAATGATTGACTGGTAAAACAGTCGGTGGGTGAAATAATTGACAGGCAAAACACAATGGATCGGGAAATAATTGGCCGGTGAAAATACATTGGACCATGAAATGATTGACTGTGAATAGACAGCGGGTAGTGAAATTGACTGGGAGGGAAAAACAGTGCAATAATTGACTGGTACTACACGGTGTGGGTCACGAAATAATTGGCTAGAACTTCACGATGTGTGTCTCGGAAAAAAAATGACTGAGTACACACAGCTGGTTGCGAAATAATTGACTGGAAATACACAGATGGTGGTGAAATTATTGAATGGAAATACACAGTTGGTGGTGAAATTATTGACTGGAAATACACAGTTGGTGGTGAAATTATTGAATGGAAATACACAGTTGGTGGTGAAATTATTGACTGGAAATACACAGTTGGTGGTGAAATTATTGAATGGAAATACACAGTTGGTGGTGAAATTATTGAATGGAAATACACAGTTGGTAGTGAAATTATTGAATGGAAATACACAGTTGGTGGTGAAATTATTGACTGGAAATACACAGTTGGTGGTGAAATTATTGAATGGAAATACACAGTTGGTAGTGAAATTATTGAATGGGAATACACAGTTGGGGGTGAAATAATTGACCGGGAACACTAAGTTGACGGTGAAATAATTGACCGGGAACACACAGTTAGTGGTGAAATAATTGACCGGGAATTTACAGTTAGCGGTTCAATAATTGACTGGAAATATACAGTTGGTAGTAAAGTAATCTATTGGAAATATACTGTGGGTGGTGAAAGAATTGACAGGGAATACACACTGGGTCATATAATAACTATCTGGAAATGCATAATGGATCATGTAATCATTTTCTGGGAATATGAGTGCGTAATCGAATATTTGACTGGTACAATAATTATCACCAAATGTACAATGGGCAATGAAATACTTGTTTGGTACAATAATTGTCAACGAATACACAGCAAAGTAAAGTAAATATCCCGTTTCACGCCTTAATGCGCATCGGGCACATGTTAGGAGCAACAATATTTTTACAGACCATCGGCACTAGGTGGGTAATGTGGTTAGCAATACTTGGCCGTCTTTACATCCCTAGGACATACATCCTGGTACCCATTTTAGGCTGGGTAGACCTGCGACGCCCCATTCCATGAACGAATACCCAGTTGATTAGGGAATGATTGTCAGAGAATACAAACCGGTTCATGCCATAATTATCGGATACAATCATTTCCAATGAATACAGCATGGAATATGGAATGATTGTCTAGGAATACTTACTCAAACTGAGACACAAAAGAGTTGACAAGGCTGCGTACAGAAACATCTTGTTCTATTTCCAGACGTCAGCAAGCTTGTTTGTACCGGTTATTTATAGATTAGATTTGCTAGCTCGAAAATGCGTCTTTGTCTGTAAAGAATGAAGGACGCAGAAACAACAATGATAATAAACATGGCATTTCTGAAAATTTATGGATTTTACTGGCAAAGTTAGGTGGTAATTGTTTGGAAAACTGCGGCGGTTTGGTCATTAATCACTTGTCTGTCGAACTGAGGGTCGTGCAATCGACTCAGGATAAAGAAATTTTTTTTTTAGTTGAACTATACATTAAACAGGAATTCATTTTTTTTTTATTTCATACTTTTTTTGAGTCCAAAAAAAAAAAATCCAACTCATTTCCTCTTCTTCTATTCGTTTGCCAGATATATAATTTTGTTTTTTAAATTACGAAACGGTGTTTTCCTTTTTTACCCCTGATATTTGATATTTGTGCCATTTGGACGGCACATCCGATTTCTTTTGAGACATTTGTTGATCATAGATCAAGGTAATTTTTGAACAGGACAGGAACATCTGATACCTTTAGCAGAACTTGTCTGTTACGGAACTGGTCCAGAAAATCAGGAAAACATCGTACATACAACGGTTTCAGTTTCACGCTTTGTTATGAGAACTGAAGACCCAATTCAACCGGCATACAGATTACTTCAAAACCGTCTGGTGCACCAAAAAAATGTCATACAAATGAACATCGTTTCTGAGGTTTGTACCTGTGAGATTCTTATTCTATACGAAACAAACGTCTAGGAATACTTTCTAAAGGTTAGGCACAAGAGAGTTGCTTTAAGCCACCGCGTGTTAATCAGTCAGTTGAATAATATTCCAAGCCATTCCACTTTCTGAAGTCTCAACTCTCTAAACCTAGCGATCAGCATTGCTCCTATTGACTGTAAACCGTTCCCCACACAGCACACACACGTTTATATATGTTAACAACTATTTTTTCCCCGCAGCCAGACGTTGACGACAGTTAGATGGCTGCAGTCGATCTGTTTGAAGCTTGTTATTAGTTAGCTTAGCCTGATGGATAAGGGCTAACAGAACCTGATCTGCGATTGTTAAGATCTTGTCAGGCGGTAAACCAAGAGCGTTCACGTTAGCAGTATCCACATCAGCACAAGCTAGCACGTTACTCGGACAGCATTAGGGTGCCCAAATATAAAACAGTTATAGGTTTGAACCTACACCCTTAACCTGGCAATCTAAAATGTTGCTGAAGGTTGAGGTGCTCAGCCGTGTGAATATTGAAGCCAAGGGAAAACTACCACATTATATATATATCACTAGAAATTCTAAATGAAAACCGAAAACGATCTCGAACATTTGATGGTGAGACCTTGAAGACCAGGCAGGTCATCTGCACGAATTGGGGAAGAGAACAATGAACTATCTAGTACAAGCAACAGAGACAAGAGAGCGGTAATGGAGGGTCTGTTTTCGGAAAACGAGACAGAGGCATACCTCTGTAATAGGGGATAGAAGACATTAAAGATGCATTAACAATGAAAGCACACAGGGCTGGAGAACTACCTAGAGAAAGATAGAGATTGTCAGGGGTGCCGTGTTGAGAGCGACGTTCTGTAAAGGATTTGCTGATTGATGATGATGAGTTTCAACTATTGTTTTCTCCTGTTGGGTTCTATCTATTGTCTTTCTTTGTTTAATGCTGTTAGGCGTCGCAGGCACGGCTAATGATGGATTTCCGGGATAGTGCGTGCTCGTTAGCTTGCTGCGTGGTGATATTGTTGAGTTTCAGCAAGTTATTAACCACTCTATCCATATTCTTCTTGACTTTCCTCTGCCTCTTTATGTTTCCATTCTCATGTGGTATGTTCTTGAAACCTGCTAGGCGGGCATACGAAAAGTGTCTTTTTAAGTCAGGGGGTGTCAAATCTTCAGTACGGAATCCCAGGGTGAGAATACAGGGGGTAAAACATATAGTGCACTTATAGATATGACGTTTGATGTTGATTCTTGCACAGTTTGTTAACTAAATATTTACAGCAGTAGTTTTCAGCAGTTTTTCAGGCAGCCTCTCCCTTGAATATTTAGTAAGATCACCCAAGTACATGTGGGAGTCGCCGTGGCGGAGAGGATAGAGGTTCGCCACGGATCGGATGGTAGTGGGCTCGCTCTCTAGCGGAACCAGACTTTTTTTTTAAAAATGACATTGACTCCCAGGTAGACTCAGTCTTGAGTGGGTACCAGGTACAGTCCCGTGAAGTAAAGACGGCCGGCTTGATGCTGACCACATCACCCACCTTATGTCGATTGGTCTATAAAATTTAGGTCTAGCCCTATATGCCCTATACGCTTAAAGGCGTGGAAAAGGGTCCTTTACTCACATTTACCCAGGTTCCTCCGTTCTTTACCACCCGCCCCCCCCCTTTCCGAGCCCCTCCCTTACCCACCATTCTCAATCTTTTTTTAATAGGATTGAAAAAAAAAGATGAGGGGAAAAAAGAAAAAGTGCCAAGCACTATCAACAAGAGCATGGAGAAAAACGTTGAGATCAATAAAAGTGTCCAATAATTAAAAATTAACAATCGTCAACAGCTCATAATTTAGTCTGCAAATATCAACGTGGTGGATAACATTCATCCGATATTTTTGGTCTGATACTGCACAAGGATCAGAGAAATACTGAGAGAAAAAAAAAAATTCTATCGCAAGTACAAATGCAGTAAATTTCAGAATTTATTGACGCACCCTGAACCTTCCCCTATATAGGCAGGCAACCAGGCTGAAACCCACCAATTTAAAATCTAAACACCTTTTTTAAACACTTATCGAAGCAACTATACACTGTGATCTAATAACACTTATAGAACTTACCAGTATTCTCAAGCGGGTATGTTGAATATCTCTTGTCTCATCACATAATATTTATAGGGAAGATACATCCTGCATTTTATGCTTTTTTTTTTTTTTAAACACCTATTGACAATCCTGCCAGATTTTCTCACCGAGCAAACAGGACATGCCATTTTTAGACCCACGAACGAGCAACACGATACCCAACAGTATGACAGAGACTCAGCTTTAGACCAACACCAGACAATAGCTTGTTCCGCACCTTGTAATACAATGCTTCATACTCAATAAATATCTCATAACAGGATTTGTTTCGCTTTTTGTTTGTTGCGGGTACTCGGTATTAATTTTTATAAGATTATGATGCTAAAGTTAAAGAAGAAGAAGATGAAGAAGACGATCAAGAATACTATCTCCTCCACTTCTTTGTCCTGTTTATCGGCAAAGTGTTTGATCTTGTTCCTATGCACGTTTTGAGTGCTCACGTGCGTTTGGCTTCTTTGTATGCAGCCTGTTGGCTCCTCGCCTTTCAGTCAGATGCACTCCGACTTGGAAGACAAAAAATAAGACAATGACAACGATAGTTGAAAAGACTGAAAGTGATTATGAAGAAGCCAATGAAGAAAACAATACAGCCGATGAAAAGACAATTTAAAAATAAAAATGACCGATGAAGGCGGTGAAGAAAAAAATGAGAAAGGCTGAAAATGACAATGAAGAAGAAAATGAGAAAAGGCTGACGATGAATAAGGCAATGAAAAAACTGACAATGAAGACGAAGAAAACAATACAAAATACTGAAAAAGCCCATAAGGAAGACCACACACACCCAAAAAGGCTCAAGAAGCCGATGGATAAAATAAAAAAAGGACTCAAGAAACCGATGGATAAAATAGGAAAAGCTCAAAAAGTCGATGGATAAAATAAAAATAAAAAAGGCTCAAGAAGCCGATGGATAAAATAAAAGACTCAAGAAGCCGATGGATAAAATAAAAGACTCAAGAAGCCGATAGATTTTTAAAAAAGGACTCAAGAAGCCGATAGATATAATTAAAAAAAAAAAAAAGACTCAAGAAGCCGATGGATTTAAAAAAAAAAGGACTCAAGAAGCCGATGGATAAAATTTAAAAAAGGACCCAAAAAGCCGATGGATAAAATAAAAAAGGACTCAAGAAGCCGATAAAAAAAGATTTTAAAAAATACATTAAAAAAAAAAAAAAACACTAAAGAAAGAAAAAGCTACCCTTTTTGAAAAACTTTTAAACAAACAACTAATCCCGGCACAATCCAAAAATATACGCACTCAGTTTTATGCAAAAGGCAGTTGCTAGAGACGCTAAAGCCAACAGTCGCCACCAGAAATGTAATCTGTGGTTGATGGAAGCAGTTACAGGCTCGATAAGCTGGCTATACACACGTATAATTCTCACATAAGGTAATTCACCAGCTCACATGTAAACCAGCTACCAGCCATACTGACTACCACGACACGACCGCTGCACAAGTGAAAGGCATTCCATGGGTAAAACACAGCTCACAAGGCTGCACCAAGCACTGAACTCAGTAGCTAATGAAGTAGTGTAAACTATCATAGAATATCATGGGCAGAAAGGCAGCAGACAGGTAGCTGTAGAGCTCACTTGTGTTGTGCATGCGTTATGTTTCAACAGCGACGGTAAGAGAATAGAGATATTTAGAAAAAAGACGACGAAAAAGAGAATTCGGTGTTGCCTAACAAGCACATAAGAAATAGACAATCTACATTATTTGGTCATGTGATGATAAGAAGAAAACTGGGGTACTTCGTGACAGTAGGAAGTTTGGAAGGGAGGAGAGGCAGAGGGAGACACAGAGAGAAGATAAGATAGTCTAGGCAACATGGTATCAAGGATCAGCTGTGTCAGAGTTAACTAAAAATACCCGAGACAGAAGGCTGTGGATGAACATGACTAGAAACGCCACATGGCATGGACTTTAAGAAGAACTCTTTATGCCTTCTTAAAATATTT